ATGGTTCCTTAAAACGTAAAAGTTTTAGATCAATGCAATGTTTTACTGGCTGTCAACTTCATCAGAATTCATCAGTAATCCATTTTTCAGTTATAAAAAATTAGTGATCCCATTGGTAGAGAGGCGTCAGGCGGCTGTATGTCGGGGATTTACCACACGTGTACAAATTTTCCATAATATTAATAAAAATGTAGGTATAGGTTAATATAACAACCATTACGCTTGAAAATAAAAAGTAAATCAAGTGTGTATGTGTTTATATTATTAATGTTACAAGTACCCCACCTACGGCCTAATTATTGATATTTATATAATATAGGTCGGGTATGGACATCCTTTTAACAAAAAAATAAGAATGCCCCCTTATGGATTCACCGTAATTAAAATCTAACTGAACAAAAATGCCACACTTCCACAACGGGGTATCTCCGGATATGCAATGCATAGGTAGATAGGTACCAACCAAACATTTTAAAACGCATTTCGGTTATTACCAATTTTTTCAGTCTATTTTGCCACTATTGGTGTAATTTAACTTTATAAAGTTAAATAAGTTATAACTGTGATACAATGTGCACTAGTAGTGTAAAGAAAAAAGAACTCTTAGTAACATTAAAACAGATAAAGAAATTGGCATGGACTGTAGTGCACATTTTGTCACTATTTAACATATTAAGGGGTAATAAACACTCGTATTAAGTTTTTCTACCCTTTTGATTTATTTTAATAATAAATAGTGTGAATGTACCAATGAATAATGTTCACATTCTTTAAATGTGTTTAATAAAGCTAATAAGCACTAAATGCTACCTAGTGTATTTTGTAGTGTAACTTTTACACTTGCAAATCAACTCTAATATTTTTACCCCTACACTAAAAAATTTACACGGGCAAAATTTTTTACTGTGTATAATGTATAAAGAAAAATTACAATTTCGGAGTATCTAAAATACTTATTTTGGTTTGGATTGAGGTTAACTTTGTTAAGCATAAATAATAAAATCTTAAATCCTTTTACCAAGAATTTGCACATTTTACTATGGAATTTAAAATAAAAGACAATATTGTAAAAATTCCTATTCCTTAACTGAAAAAGATCATGTTACCCATTTATTTTCCAGAAACACAATATCAATTTACAGTTAAGCATCTTGTTCCATTTTTATTGCGTTTCGAACGGTCTCTTAAATCAAATTGTTATAAATTGACAAAGGAGACATCAAACAATAAACCAAGCTATACGATACCATTAATAAATCTAAAAGATAAATAGAAGCCCCAAACATCATTTATAACGAAAAAAAGTGAGCAGTAAGAGAAAAAGTCTCGAGACGCTAATTGTCGGGTATGAAGATTAATGTTCCCGACTTTTGATTCATGTTTATTTTGAAGTTTAAGACCTTCACATTTGATATTAGCAAGGACTAAAATATGTACTTTTATATGGGTCATTTTCAAGAAACACCCGCTTTTTTGCTTAAATTGACTTTTGGTTGGATTTTTATAAATGTTTAGAGTTTTGTTTACTTACATTTAAGACAGACAGTGCACTTTTTAATTTTTTTTGCGTTTTTTTCAGAAAAATGTGTTTAGCTAGATTTATATATCTCCACTGTGTTACCAATTTTAAATCCAAAATTTAATTCAATAAAAAAAGTTGTTATAAAAATAAATTGAAATAAAATGTACTTAGTTCCCAAACTTTTATTTTTTATTAAAAATTGTATGCTTTTTTTTAAATATGTATGTTCGTTAAGTTACTTTTTAAAAGAACCATTCCGATTCTTTGTTAAAAAACAATACCATTAATATTTTCTTTTAGTCACTGTATTAGTGAATTAAACTCTAATTTATAAACACGTATTACCAAGTGATAGTGTATAAAAATCATTTTAAGTATTTTTTTAACAAAAACTAAAAAAAGTAACGAAATAGACATTGGTATCACAACGGACTTAATCAGATAACGTAAAAAAGAAACTATATAGGGTGGTACGATTTTAGAGTAATGCATAAACAAAATCCCTTGTAGTGGTGCTCACTTGCAGAATAACAACTTAGATTTCTAAATTGTAGACACCCTTTTTCTTTGACTATAAGCTGGTGAAGGTCCCTTTTAATACTTTTATATTGCGTGTAATTTTTCCTTGGATGTAATCTATATCATGAGTTTTAATTACAAATAATTTTAAATTGGTTAATCATAAACTACTTTTAATAAAAGCGACGGTAAATATTCACTTTGTTGTCGAAAAATTCTATTGCGTTACCCTAAATTCCATTGCGTTACCATAAGGTAACATAGTGGACTCGGTAACGCAGTAGACAAAGTTTTGTAAAACCATATTTAAAAAATAATAATAAGACATTACAGTCATTAATTACTATCAATGAGCTTAAGTGCCCTAAAATAAACATAAACATGAAAAATAGTATTTTTTTACCTTATTTTTATTATTATTTATAGAGAAACTTAGCGGACAAACAATTATTACATTCGCGTTACCCGCACCTGTTTCAACCGATATCTTCTTCCTGATTGAATAAATAAATTCAAAATTAATTAATTGATATAAAAATTGTTTACTGTATTAACTAAGGATGTTATGGATTGCTAAAAATAATCTCTTATCAAATAAAGCTGGTAGAATTTCGTTTAAAGAACAATTCAAAAAGAAGGACGCAAGATTTACCGTACAACATAATATCACATTATCCTTGATAAAAAGAACTAAATGGCGGCTTGCTGGATTTGTAGAATGTTGTAGAATGTGTAAAATAAAAGAAGTGTGTACGAGGAGAATAAGAAGAAGCCGGAACGATAAATTGTCAGATAAAACCTGCGAAGGGAGACCGTTCCTTGTTTTTGGTTTGGTAATTATAACAAACGACTTGGCGGGACGGGGAAAGCGAACGCCGCCGCCGAGGGAGACGCTTAACTTTCCACGCCGCAAATCCACCGGTCACCGGACCGCCGATCCAGATTTAACCGCCCCCTGCTTCCGCCCCCGTCCCCAGAAGCCGCCGAAGGAAGCTAACCGAGTTACACGAGATAAATGCGTTACACAAATCCATGAGCGTCTGCCCCCCTAGAAACTCGAAAAAATTTAATAAAATGTCCCATTGTCCCATTTGTAATTTCTATCGGTTACGGTGTGGGACACTGTGGTCAAAACTTAAGTATAGGACGAACAAAAATGCCAACCAAAACTGATATTTGTACTAAAACTACCTGTACAATTTTAATAAAACTAAGCAAAATAATAAACTTTGTATCATTTAAATTACTTTACTCCCCAGTATTAATTTATTGAGTCATCTATTATTTTTTACTACTCAAAACAAAACATAACAAAAAAAAAACGAAGATTTATATCTTAAATATTTTTTATAACAAAAAATACTGGAAGTTTGTCTATGAAATAATTACAACTTGCAAATTTTGTAAAACAATAATTAAGGTGGTTATGAAAAAAATTGCTATACGTTATAACGCAAGTGACATTTTGCTTTAGTTGTTTATTTAATGTATTCTTTATAAAGTTAAAAATAGTATTTTAAAATGAAAATTAAACCGAAATTCAAGCTAAGCCATAAAGAAAATCGAAAGAAGGTATGTACTGGCTGTGGAGACAAAATTGTTTTTGGTAATCGAAAAATTCAGAGTTTAGGGTTTCTGAGAAAATATAAAAATTACTGCAGACTTTTTCAAACGAACACTTTAACTTAAGTGATTCACAATTACCTACTTCAATATGGTAAAAACGGTATTTTTGCATAGCCACAATTGCCAAAATTTCAAAATTTAGAAATTGCTAGAGAATTTCGCGGCAGCCAAGAATGTATGTGCTTTATCTGCAAAATGGCAAGATATAAAGGGCATAAAAAATTATTAAGGGAAGAGGACGGACGAACAAACTAAAGTTTTGATATGCTCTTCCTTTCTAGGGGATATCGCTAGATGTAAGAAGCATGTTTGTACAGAGACAGAAGAATTTAAAAATACTGTTTCCATGTTAAAAACAATTCCATGTAAAATCCAAGAAAAAGTTTTACTAAAAATTTAAGGCAAGCAGTAATCGATTTTGCTTCAAAGAATCTTTAGTTATTTATTAGTTTTGTATTAGATACCTTAAAACAATAAATAAGATATTGCAAACTGTATTTTACATTATTTTGTATTTATAATGTAATTTATCCATATTTCAGTCATGTATCTGCCAAATTTTTAAAAACATTTGATAATGGTACTAGAGTATTTTATCGAAATGGCATAAACCGTGGGGAGTAATTAACGTTTTTCTACAATAAATTACAGGACAGGACGGTTGAACACTCCCGTTTGTAGTAAACTTGACTGTACGGTGAAATGAAGGACGCGATCGAATTTTATCCGGAAAACGCTGAGCGTAGATATTAACAGCATCATCAGGATTCCTGCCTGCTTCTCCATAAATCAAAATCATTTATATTTTTTCTTCCACTGTTAAAAAATCCATTATGAATAACTGCTTTTGTTTGCAAATTAATCTTCGAGTTAAATTGATAAAATAATGCTAAACTATAAATAGTTTCTTTCAAATCTTTCAAAAATGCACACGGAGCTAAAACCTACTATAAACCAAAGATAAATGTAACATAACTAGTTAATTAAAAAGTATTAGCCAAAGCCTTAAAACGATTAAAAAAACGATAATAAATCTGAAAGAAAGCTATTTTTAGACGACTCATTCAGGCGAATATTTTGAAAGGATTCTTTAAAGAAAAAGTAATCTTAGATCATTTATTCAACTCATCCATTGCGGTGAAATTTCCTGCTACAGTCATAAATCGTAATTAATAATTCACTTCGGCGTTCGTTTTTTTTAAAATTCAGATCCATCTCATTACAATATTCGTGTTGATTAATCGAACATCCTAATGGCAAGACTGTTACAAGGCGTTTTGAATTGATTAATATGTTTTTACTTGAATTGAATACAAAATTATATTAAAAAACACTATTTTTTCTTATTATTTTCAACACTCTGAAAAGTTTCATCTTCTTGAGAAAGTGCATCTTCTTCTTTATCATCATCCTCAAGGATAACATTCATATTACTTGAATCTTCCACTTTTATTGCTGCTGAGGTCCCTGCGTCCAAATGCTCTTTTTCCTGCAAAGAAATCCTCATAGCCAGAAGAAAATATGCTTGCTCCTCCTCTACATCAGCAGTAATGTAAGTAAAAGGCAAAATCTGCGATGATCTGATAGCAGATGCTATGTTCGTATCTGGAAGTATGATTACCACGTTATTTGTTAAGTTATTATCTCCATTCAAGTCCATGGTAAAATCAAACATTTTTCTTAAGGTATCTGGGTGCTGATCCATAAAAATAATCTCCACGGTAACTTTGGATCTCTTCAGTATTTTAGCCAACTTACGCAACTGTTTTTCATTTATAATGCAAGGGCTTGCAATAAACGCTATCAACTTCATTTTGCTCTCTTTATTTGGACGTTTAATCAACATGGAGTAAGCCAAATGTAGACCGGCTACAAAATCGATTTGCTCGTGAAGCTTCAAATTTTTACTCTTGCTCAAAACTTCGTTGTAATTCTGCGTCAGTGGTGCCAATATTTCCACGTTCGCCATTGCAACCAACCCGAAATAGTTCGAAGGGTTCGACAGAGTCTTCGAAACGCATATCAAATGTATCCCCTGACATTCCACGTATATTCGGTTCGGTACGTGATCTTCAATCAACGTGAAGTCACTGTTGTCCAAACAGAAAACTGTAGTTTCAAAAGCCATGCTTGAATTTTGACGTTTACTAAAAGTTTGGTTAAGTTGTCATAAAATATATTTGTAGGTATACAAAGCAATCCCTAATTATTTTGTTTCTTTTTGAGGAAGTGAATTGTCATCATCTTCATGAGTATCATTCGAGACATTTTCATTTTGTTCTTCTGGTGTGTAAGCATCAAGATCGTGTTTTTCCTGCAACGAAAGATTCAAGGCCATAATAAAGTAGGCTTCATCCTCATCAACATCATTTGTAATGTAAGTAACAGGTAAAATATCCGATGATTTTAAAGCAGTATTTATATTTGTGTCCGGATAAACGAAGACCACTTTACTTCGCTTAACATCATCATCAGCATTTAAAAAAGTCGTAAAATCGAACATTATCTTTAGCGTTTTAGAGTTTTGATCCAAAAGAATAATATCCACACCAACATCTGATACCTTCAGTATTTTCTTTAGCTCGTTAAGTTTTACCTCATTTATATCGCAAGGACTTGCAATGAAGGCTAAAATTTTCCTGATGCCATCTTTATTCGTCAACATTGTGTACGCCATATGTAGACTCGCCACCAGGTCAATATCATCGCAAAAACTCAAATCCAAAAACTTATCCAAAATATCGTTGAAATTCTGTGTGAGTGGTACCAATATGCTCGCGTTTGCCATCGCTACCAACCCAAAGTAATTCGAGGGGTTAGATACGGTTTTTGATTTCATTATCAAATTGATACCTTCGCATTGCGCCTGAAGTCTGTTGGGAAGAAAATCTTCGTTTAACGTGAAATCGCTGTTGTCTAAACAAAAAACTGTTGTTTCAACGACTTGAGGAGCCTTTTTGGAGGCCATACTAGAATTTTGACGTTTTGCAAAAGTTTGGTTAAGGTTGTCAAATGTTGAAAACAAGATTATGAATTAGTCAAAGCGTTATGTTTAAATTATTGGGTGTAACATTGAACTGGTGAATGGGTATTTTGTCAAAGCCACTGGACGTTAATACACTCACAGGCAAAATAATCGATCCACACAAATTTTCGATGAATTTCAATCGCAAATAACTTTTTTATTCGATGTCGGATTTAAACGAATATTAAAGAATATTGTAGATAAATTAATGGACAATCGCTCACATTTTAAAAAATTACTAAAAAATAGACGTACGTTTATAATATACAGGTTTAAACAAAAAGATGTTTTTTACCATAAGTTTAAGACACTCTGTAGAGTGGCAAAACCGTATATTATACTAAATTAAGTTTTATTTATCAAGTCACATCCATTTTTAACAGTTTTGTTTTTGGTTCACCTTGATATATTTATTTTTGTGGAAAATATGTATTTAAAAAAAAAAACATTGCAATTTTCAATATTTTTCCTGTATGAAGAACTAAGGTTGCTATGGTCCATCCATAGCCTATGGAGGATGACAGTGACAGTTTTGTTGAATCATCCCATACTTGGACATGTCATATACAGCTTGCAAAAAAATTGTTTTTTGTAAATTAATGTGTTAATTTTGAGGTGTCTTCTTACTTTTAAAAATGTCTCGGACTGATGTTGCCCTTTGTACTTTACTTCTTGTGACGTTTAAAACACTTGCCACGTAATACTGTGACCGTCCATCCTGGATTAAATTAATAGCTCTGGCAACATCAGTCGGAGACATATCCATTTTTTAAGTGAAAAATTTAAACATTAATTTGCAAAAAACAATTTGATAGCTTTTGAAAACCGTGTATGACATGTCCAAGTATGGGATGATTCAACAAAACTGTCACTGTCATTCTCCATAGCCTATGAAGTTAGTTCTTCATACAGAAAAATATTGGAAATTGCAATGTTTTTTTTAAAAATTCATATTTTCCACAAAAATAAATATATCAAGGTAAACCAAAAACAAAACAGTTAAGAATAGATGTGACTTGATAAATAAAACTTAATTTAGAACAATATACTGTTTTGCCACTCTACAGAGTGTCTTAAACTTATGGTAAAAAACATCTTTTTGTTTAAACCTGTATATTATAAACGTACGTCTATTTTTTAGTATTTTTTTATTTTTGGTTTTTTATCTCCCCCCTATTTTTTTAAATTTCAAAAAATTTGCGTGGTTTAATATTTGTAAAACCAAAAACCTAATTTTTTACTCCAAAAATGTTTTCTGCCATTGAGTCATTAGGCATAACTTCATCGATATGTTGATAGTTGGTGTCTATGGTAACGCTTTTCGCGTTTGATAGTGGCAGTGACAGTTCTATATGCAGTGTTATTTAAAATCTAAAAATGAGTTTAAAATAACAAAAAAAATCCACTACAAAGAAAAATTATTAAAAAAAAGGAAACAAAAAATAAGGCAACAGAAAACTTGCAGTTTGTTGAATTCAGTAAAAGTCTAAATAGAAGAGCTTCTACTATAAATACAAAAACCATAGAAGGTATAAGAATTGTCTAATTATTATTATAAAAAAATACCTTATAATAAATAATCTAAACCAATTATGTTTAAGAGGAATTAAATATTAATAATTTACCCTAAAAACGGAGTTGTTAAGATCCATAATACAGTTTAGCAATAATGAACTATAACAGCCCATTTAGTCTTAGAAACTTTAATAATATTTATCTATTTTGCGTTCATAATGACTTCATTATAACACCTCTTTCGGTGCTGTAATAAGATACTTTATACCACCCAAAATTTTGATTTTATAGGTTGGCTATACTTTAAACAGCATAATATTTTGCATATTGGTTATAATATTTTTATGATTTTTCTAGTACTTACGAGACTTTTCTGGCAATAAATTTTGTTTAACAACAAAGAAAATCCTTTTTTTCTTCTTTAACATATACAGCCGCTGATTGTAAATAAGTAAATTAAGGACGGCATGGTGAATCGATTTTGACATTAAATGTCAAACTAATGACTGTGATACCAACTATCTAAAGTAAAATTCGACCAAATTAAATTTAAGGTATAAAATAATTTTTTTTATAGAATTTTTGCAAAATAGATAAAATAGCATAAAGATCTCATGTCATAAGACCTTTTGTCGCACTCGTCCATACTATTTTCTTGGAACCAGACAGTCTATAAAAAACATTGCAATTTTCTGTTTTTTTATGTAATTTCTAAAACGTGTCGCTGATATATCGTCTTATAACATTAGTAGCATATTGTCCCAGTTGCGGCGAATAATCCATTTAGTTAACTAACTATAGTTACACAACGAATTACGCAGAGATAATTTCTTGCGCCATTATAAATGCATAAAGGGCTTCCAGCAGCTACGCTAGATAGTTAATTATAATAATAAACATTAACCGTATATTGTATTTCCTTTAAATTGTTATACGGCATCGAGTTCTGCAATTGCTGTAAATAAACTTTATTGCTTCTTAGACTGCTGTAATTTACTACTTACTCCTGGATTGTAGTTAAATTCGAATTACGTATTAAAAATATATATTAAGGCAAGAGAGATTTTACATATTATATGATGTACAAAATAAAAAAAATATGAACTCACTTTTTAAACAACAAGTCTGCTTTGTTTATAGAATATACCTTAAATGTTTATTTTAGAAAACGACGAAATTTTAATTTTCTTAGTGATCTTTTTGATATTTTTATCATGCTAAATTTTACCACACTTCACTTGCATAAGTGAAATCAATAAGATTATAACACTGGCCCTTTCCCCCTCTTTTTAAGGGAAATAACAAGAATTTTGTTACCATTGCAAAACAATAGTAAATAATAAAAAAGTCTTTTTATAGCAATACACAACTATAGATTTAACAAAAACATTTTAAGTTCGACAAAGATTTAATATAAGAGTCATTCCAAATAAAAACACCAAATGGGGTGCGCTGCGTGATTTTTTATTTTGATGAAAAAATTTGAGGATGATCTTTTAGGTGTCAAATATGAAAATCCGTTGCCGTTTAAATTTTTTGTTGCTTTACTTTTATTTGGCACCCCTTAGAAGTCTGAAATAGTGTCAATTTCATAATCTCTTATAGTGGGCCAGAACTTTTTTTCTGTGACAAATATTGAAATAATTTTAATTTTGTTTTACTGTCCAGTAAGTGTGTTTTCGATATAAATTATTATTATCCAATTAGTTAATCTCATAAAAGAATGGTAAACCACTAAAGATTCATGATAATTTGCCAATTTTTGTGATTTTTGTCTGGCTCCTGTGCATATTCTACTGAATTTAGAAGGTTCATTTTTTTCAGGTATAAAGTACTTATACAATAGAAAACGTAACTATTATTTTAAGTTTCTAGACTATCAATTTCTTTATTAAAAAAATTATTGAAAATTGATAATTCTCAAAATTAGCCAATTTTGCCCTCAGAAATCATTATGTTGAGGAAAAAATAAAAATCTGAAACTTTCAGGAAATGTAGTCCCCACCTTCATCTTTTCAGTCCAGTTAGTCTTGTTTTGTTATTTTTATTCCTTTAAAAGATATATTATTTTTTTTAATGCCCGTTTAGTAGCGATATTGTTAATTTTATTTTTAATTTAAAATTTAGATGTCTTTCATGTTTGGTGGAGAAGTGTCAGAACTGTCAAAAATATTTCATAAATATTATTTGTGCGTATTTTTTCGGTAAATTTTGTATATAACATAATATGTCATATTATGTTATAAATAAAACTTTTAAAATCACCAAAGGAATACCTCAAATAATAATTATGAAATATTTTTGACAGTTCTGATATTTTTGGTAGTTATGTTATATTTTATGTATTGAAAAATCATATATATATGATTATATGTATATTATATACATTATAATGAAGTATTTAATTGACTAATTGGTGTTTAAGGAAGATAAAAAATATATTCAAGATCCTTATGGTTTATATCGTTAAGTATAATAAGTGAAATTAATAAAGAGTTAATTTAAACGTATAAAAAATGCGTTAAGCAGTTTTTTGTCGGTTTCTTTCACAATTTAAACCAAGTTAGTCTTGTTCTATTATTTTGATCCCTTTAGTAAGGCACTGAATAGTTAAAGGTTATATATATGTTTTTTAAAGGTTTGTGTTGGAAAAAAATTTACATAATCTGTAAATTCTTTAAATTTTAGTTTTTAGGTAACTGGTTAAAATTAAACATGTTATAATAAAGGGGTTTATTTAGAATATTTTTTGGTTTTTGCTTATTTTTAACAATTTAAAACTTCTCAGAACTTAAATATTTTCTATAAGAAAGAGGTACAAAATTATGATATGTCCTTGCATTTTTAATTGCAATTAAATTCATGAATCTCGAACACTCCGTCATTTATTACACTGCAAACTTTTTGAAATCACAATTTAAATACGCACAAATAAAATTTATGAAATATTTTTGACAGTTCTGACATTTCTCTAACAAACATGAATTGACAAAGTCAAAGCCATCTAAATTTTAAATTATAAATAAAACTAACAATATCGCTACTAAACGGGCATTAAAAAAATTAATATATCTTTTAAAGGAATAAAAATAACAAAACAAGACTAACTGGACTGAAAAGATGAAGGTGGGGACTACATTTCCTGAAAGTTTCAGATTTTTATTTTTTCCTCAACATAATGATTTCTGAGGGCAAAATTGGCTAATTTTGAGAATTATCAATTTTCAATAATTTTTTTAATAAAGAAATTGATAGTCTAGAAACTTAAAATAATAGTTACGTTTTCTATTGTATAAGTACTTTATACCTGAAAAAAATGAACCTTCTAAATTCAGTAGAATAGGCACAGGAGCCAGACAAAAATCACAAAAATTGGCAAATTATCATGAATCTTTAGTGGTTTACCATTCTTTTATGAGATTAACTAA